ATGACATAATGTAAAACTTTATTAAAAGCAGGGGAATAGAACTAAACACAAGGAATTATGGGTAGAAAGTGGCATCAAACAGGAAGCCACAGTAGGAAAAACACAGTTGTGAATTTAAAAAAAAAATGATGGATGGATTTTATTCACCTTAAAAACAAATATATGTGAAGTGCACCACCTGCTGGATGCTTTCTAAGTACAGGTTGATCATCAGCCGCGGTGGAGGAAGTATTCCTGTACTCTAGTAAAAGTACTAATACCACACTGTTAACACTCTGTTCCAATGAAAGTCCTGTATTCAAGGTGTTACTTAAGTTAAAGAGTTTAAATATATTCAGGACATGTTCTTTAAGAAAAAGTCCCTTAAGACTGGTATACTATTATATATTACCATTATTAGATTATATCACTCATGCATTAATGTAAAAGCAGGGTTTTATTGTTACAGTTTATTTGATCTGAATGCTCCCTTGAGTTGATTGGAGGGTCGTTCAGATCAGCTGCTCCTCCTAATTAAGAGCGGAGAGTTTCTGCTCTTGGCCAATCAGGATGTGACGGCGCCTTTTCTTTAAGGCTTAAGAGGAACTGCACATCCAGGGCTCTGCTCAGCAGAGGATGTACTTCCTGAGGCAGCTGAAGAAATTCAACCTGCCAAAGACGATGATGGTGCACTTCTACACAGCCATCATTGAGTCCATCCTCTGCTCCCTCATCACGGTCTGGTACGCTGCAGCCACCGCCAAGGACAAGGGCAGGCTGCAGCGCATCATTCGCTCTGCCGAGAGGGTGATTGGCTGCAATCTGCCGTCCCTCCAGGACTTGTTCGCTTCAAGGACCCTGACGCGAGCAAGATAGATTGTGGCCGACCCTGTTGAACTGTTCGAGCCCCTTCCATCTGGCAGGAGGCTGCGGTCAATCAGGACGCCACATGAACACTTCTTTCCCTTCTTCAGTTGGGCTCATCAACAAAGCCCGGGACCCCGACTGACTCTGTCATCCCCAGGACAATTTCCTACCGTTCACTCCCCTGCACATCCCTCTAGGTTTCTTATTTAAATACACTCGACACTTTCACATTACACTTAATGTACATCTCACTTGTTTATAGTCCTGTTATCTGTAAAAGTTAACATACCTTTTAAAAGGTAGTGATGGATTTTATAGCTTTTATAGTTAAAGCGTGATGAGCAAGAGGTAACATTACAAGTAATAACTCAAGAGTTTCCAATATTAAAGACATCATTTAATGAGAAAAATTGGATGTTGTCTGATTTATGTTGCAAATTTATGAAAAAAAACAACAAATATGCAAGATTATAAAGTCATAAATTTAATAGAAAAAATGAATTATTATTTATTTTACTTACAATGGCCCTAATACGCCGTTGTAATAAATGTGACTTTTCTTTATTAACAAACTAATTATTTCTACTTTTTACTATTTCATCTGGAAGAAGAACTGCAGGCGTTCCAGAGGTTTTGAATTCCTAAATTAAAGTAAAGGAAGTCAATGTGCAAAACAAATAAATAACCAGAGGAGACGCCGAGATATTTTATAAAACTTTTTTATTCATTTTTTTAAAATCGTAGGCTAACTGAAATGTGTCCGATTCATACGGTGTTCTGTGACAACAACGATAAACCGTTGTCTTCGGTTCGTAACAAACAAAAAAATAACAACAAAACGTTGCAACACGTAGACCATCCATTATAAATTAAAATAAACATTTGTTTATTTAATACACAAATAAGCAATTATTATTATCATTGAGGATAAGTAGGCCTCTATATAAGTATGTGAACCATGCTGTGAACAGAGAGAACACTTCAGCTTCGTCTTAGTCTTCTTTCCACTTCAATGGAAGAACTACGAACCTGCTGCTGAAGATGAGTTCAGGGAAAACCCGACGTTTGTTTTCTACATAAAACAGATCACATGCTGTGTGCAGGAATCCGGATCTATTGTACAGGTCCCACATTATTCAGATGCGTGTGCAGGATAAAACTCAACAACAGGTGGAAGACTTCTACAACAGTCACTGCAGGTGATGAGATAGCGAGGCTTGTTTAAATATGCACACATACGTACTGCAACCAACATATATATAACATATTGCATGTATTTTCTTTAACATTGTTAGAGGAAAGGCGCCGTGCAGCGCTGATTTCAAAGAGCAGAGTGAGCAGAAAGGAAACACGACGAGGCAGAATGAGCAAAAACACAAAAGCTTTTTCACACTCTTTTCTCCGGTCTGTTGACGCTGTAACTTTGTTTCTAACAAGTACCAGTATGTGTTCTTACTTCAAATACTTGTCTACAGGTCAACAGCAGTTACAGGAACTGGTGAAAAAAAAAAAAAAAGGCGTTGTATATAATTCGAAATAATAAAAGTTCAAGTCAGGTGTAACTTTTGTCCTTTTCTCAGCGACAAGAGTCTCGTTTAGGTTGATTTCTTCTTTGGAAATGTCTTTAATGATAACGTGGACAGATGTGGTGTGTTTTTGTGTTTTGGAGGTCAGAGGCTTTGTTTTCTTTATTTTCGTGGCGGCCATCTTGTTATGTCGTTTCTTATGTTGCGTTCCAATAAATGTCGGAAGTAAAACTAAAATCCCAGCTGGCAGGTCGGAGTTCCTCCACACCTTTTTTTGACCTTAACGTGAACGAGTAAAATAAACACGACCGAAGCATTTCTTTAGCTTCAAACAGCATCAGGAAGTCAGTGTTTTCATTTGTTAGCTCGCTGATAAAACGATGCATTTGAGCGCAAGTTGTAAAAAAAATGTCTTGACTCCGACATCTCTGGAACGCAGCATAAGTAACGCGTGTATATACTATATACATAATGTATATGTATATACATTATGTATGTACTATATATTGATATACTGGCATTTGACAAATTTGTTGCTGCTTTAAAATAGTTTACTCTTGAATTGTTATTCCTGTTCATTCAAAAAAAAAATGTAACAAGCTGCTCTTGTATAATTTATTATCTTAATAATGAATAAAAATTATGTAAATAGTTACTTTTTGTGATACAAAAAAAAAAAGCCGGATCAGTGCATCCTTATTAGTAAGTCATAAACAAAGAAGGTTCTGGAGCTTTGGATTGTACCAAGAGAATCTTCCTCAGCAGATGTTTGTTTATTTAGTTATAACAGCTGTAGATGTTCACATTCCTTATCTATCGTTTTTATTATTCTTCACTATAATCTTTTTATTTATTTTTTCCGTTTCTTGGCGTGAATGGACTTCCATACCTCATGGCCATGTATCGAGAAGTATTTTATTAAGACGTTGTCTTAAGTGTCAAAAGGCAAAAAGTATTTGTGGGGCGTTTTGCAGACGGACGAAGTCTCCGTCGGACCGGACACCAGAAGGCACACATGTAGACGCTGGGCCGGGACGAGGAGCGCCGATGATTCGGACTTTGACGTTTCCGTGCACGAAGCCGTGTACTTGAACTTATAAGTGCGCGGAGGACTGAGTGAGAGGCGCACAAGCGGCAGTTTGCACAGATTGTAGATTCATCGCTTTCATCCTCTGACAAATGGTTCTCTCTTGAAACTGGAAACGGCACTAAAAGCAGAAGTATACAGTTTCTGGTATTTCCACGTCCTCCCAGTGATCTGCAGCTTTTGTGTGTTCGGTAGTTTTACACTCTCAAAGTTGGTTTTACAAAATAAAAAGTCAAAAAATAAAACAATTGTGTGATTGATGGATTGAAGTAAAATTACATTTAGTTTTCAAGTGAATAAACAACAATAACAACAACAATTTAAAAAAACGTACATTTAGCACACTACGTTAAAATAGGACTAATATTATCAAAAAGGCAAATAGTAGGTGTATTGCAACGCTCTCTGCGGCATCACTATCAAAAACATCAATCTTCATCATCCTCAATCTTCATCATCATCATCCAATCATCATCATCTTCATCTGAGACAGTAAGGAGGCGTGGCCCGGGATGATTGACAGCCCAAACTAACCACTCATGTTTTGCCCGTCTCAGCGCAGGCAGGCACACTTGTATACGACATAGCAACAATAACAATAACAACGCCTCCACGGAGACCGACCGAACAGACAAGACAGCCAATGACGGCGGCGAGGGCCGGTCTGAGAGGAGCTCTGTCATTGGACAGCAGGCATCTTTAGGGAACAGGGAGAGCTCGTTCAGACAGGAAGAAGAAGAGGTGGAGGGGCGGGGCAACTGTAGAGGTGATCCAGGTGTGTGTGTGTGTGTGAGATAGATAAATGTTTTCACTATCTTGTGTGGTCCACAATAAGAACAAAAATGTATGTGGATGTATGAAAGTGCACCTGTGTGTGTGTGTGTGTGTGTGTGTGTGTGTGTGTGTGTGTGTGTGTAAGGTCTGGTTCTTAGGTTAGTTTGTTTAGTCTGCTTTGAGTTTGTGTGTTTAGTTTTTGTCTAGACGGCTGGAGTCTTTCCCAGGGCAAGTCAGTGTACATTAACACACACACACACACACACACACACACACACACACACACACAGTCTTTGCTCTGGGAAAAGACATAGTCCGCTGATTTTACAAAAACACTCATGCTGGAGAAATGTGTGACCAGTTTAAACACTTACAGATTATTTCTGCCTTGGACACATTTTAGGAGACAGAAACCTGATCGGCTTCAGACGTGAACAAGTTGTTCTGGTGAGAGATATCAGCAGTAGAGATGTCTGCCTTCTCTCCAAAGTAATGGCACTATATGACACTCGGCTTGTGGGATGTAAACATACCAGTGTGTGTGTGTGTGTGATGTGTGCTTCCATTGAGCCCCTGAAGGACTTTCCCCTCCTCTCTCTCTCTCTCTCCTCCCGTCTTTTTATTTAATTTTTTATTTGTTTGTATGGTCAGCCAGCGCAGGTTTCCCTGAAGCGAGAGATTGATCCTCCACTGTTTCACGTCTCCTCCCCTCTACTGTAGGCACATTACACTTTTTAAATAATTCGTGCTATCATTTCTTTCTTCACTGCGACGCCCCGACCAGAGCCGGTCCAGCCTTCTCGTACCCGCTGCGAACCCTCCAGGGAACCACCAAAACATAAAGGCAGCCCAGTTCAAAACAAGTATAACACTGGTGGAGGGACAATAAGTTAACTAAACTTGTACTGGGACTGGGCTCATAATCTCATTTCGGGTTCAAAGGTGAGTGATTCACTCTTCCTCCTTTAGCTGCTTTGGGTCAAGAGATTGATTTCTTTATGTCGTGATTTTTTTTGTTTGTTCGTCATTGAATCGTATGTGCCGACATGGCGGATCAGCACCGGAAGCAAAGGGAGAAAGAGAGACGGTAAAGAAGACAGAGGGGCGGCCAATCACAAAGAAATGACTTCTGATTGTTTGTCTTTTTTTTGTGTGAGTAACAGAAGTTTAAGGAAGGATTCGTACAACTGTTCATCTGAGGAATTTATGGTAATTTATCATCCCATGTCTTTTTAAACAAAGATCCAATTGTTTTTATGAGGCTTCGATGAATGTTTAGACAGAGTAATGTTGAGTCGAGCCGTTATTCTGGAAGCTAAATAACTGACAATATTCAGACGGTCGTATCTGTGTTTTAAAGGCATTTCCAGAAGACTCAAAGACTCCTCAATCCAGATAAAAATGATTCTGTCTGTTGCACCATAGAAGAAGATTTCTGACAATCTCTGTCTGGATTAAGAAACAGAGTTGCAACTTGGGGAACAAGTAAGAGAACGCTTTTACACTACAGCAGACAGAATGTTTGTTATCCGTGGAAAGCCAGATGACTCTGACTTTGAATAACCTCAAACCGGCGCTGTTAAAGGACCGTCTTGTCTTTTCAAAGATCACCAGGGATTTATCTTTCAGACTAACGGACGCTCGGCTCTGACTCCGATGTAACAACAATACATGAGGAAGAAAAGGATTTAAAGATTCACCGCATCCGATTATAAAAATGTCTTTTTGACTCTCTTCTCCTCAGGCTACAAAGTTAGACCGACTCAGCTTCGGGAGGTTTTGGCGGTGGTTTGGTTCGGTCCCTGCAGAGGGCGCTGTTGCATAAAGGCTGGACACTAAAGGGTTCCTTCACATCCACTTTTAAATTCAACTGGCGAACCTCAGAACCAGCCGGCTAAAAGAGGTTCCAAAAACATTTTCACACAAGAAGCAACTAAAAGACAAAAACCTACAGAAGGATCTAATCTTCTATGTTAGCGAGCTAAACTTTGACCTTCAGTCCGACACTCTGAAAGAGACGACAAGAGGACAAGTTGTTGTCAACACTCGTGTCACTTTTCAACACTTCTGTGTGTCTTAATTTGCGACAACTCGCCTCGTGCTGCGTTCAACACACAAAGAGTTCTGCTCCAGAAGGGAAATATCCACCGTGGGAAGAAGAGGTTAAAATAAAAAAAATTCAAAATGTAGTAAGTTTTTTTGTCATTACCCCGGCTGGGTATTTGCCAATTTTGACTGGATTTTATTGAGCCAAAGTTCTGCTTGTATAAAGAACATTTAAGACTTGAGAAATAAAAAGACGAAAAAACACATTTCTCAAAGCAAGTTGAGCAAATGTTGCTTTTAAAAAGCTGCTAACAGCATTGAAAAATTTAAACCGACACCCAGCTGGTGATTCCATGTGTTGGGGTTATATTTAGTTTTTTTCCCGTTGAAGGATGTTTAAAGTTTTGGAGCACAACTCTTTGCATCTTTTTTTGAAGTGTGGCTTCTAAAGGTTGGACTATTAAAAGCTCGAATATTAAAGGGTTCTACCGTAAGTTTTCTCGGCTGCGGCTGGCTGACGGAAGATTGTTGTCTCTTTCCTGGTGCATTAAAGTGCTCAGAGATGCCTGTGACAGCGGTGACCTCACCAGAGGGGTCTGTGTGTGTGTGTGTGTTGCAAGCAGAAACTTGTTAGTGTAACGTGTGTGTGTGTGTGTGTGTGTTACACAGCTGTGCACAGTATTACTCATTTAGGGCCTGCAGAGCACTACAAAGGGGACGTTAGGCGTCACTGGATCTGCATCGTTTCTCTCTCTCTCTTCTCACCCGATGAACAAAAACAAAAAACCCTGACATTTAAATAAAATACCACAGAGCAGGATTAAACTCTACATCTACATCCTCCTCTACTCTACCGTTTACATTACACATTGTCGTGATTACATTTGTTCGACGGGACAAAGTCTGATGGACTCGTATGTGCTCGGTTCGAGGTCGTGACAGCCAGCTTTGGGATTGGCTAACGATTCGGTCAATGGGATGAGAGAGAGAGCTACGAGCAGAGTTTCTGATTGGGCCCATAGGTGGGATGCTGACTTGGCTCGCAAGACTCGGATCTTTTGCATAAATGAGGGATTTATTCATTTTCAATGGTTTCAGTAACGGTGGATCCGAGTCCGTTGAGCCGAAGTCCGACTCTCCCCATGATAAGTTATGGTGATACTGGCCGCTGTGCACCCCCCTCTGGTGCCTCTCGCTCTCTTTACGCCTCAATGGACAGAGCTCCTTCACAATAAAAGTCTCTCCCACATGTTCCATCTGCGCATACTAAAAAATAGTGCAATTCTTTTCAGCAATTATATAAATAACTCGTAAATTCGTGCTTTTGAGTTCACTCTCAGTTCGCGTACATGTGTTTGTGTGTGTGTGTGTGTGTACTCAAAATGTAACACATACCAACACATCTGCAGCAAAAATGTTCAGCGTGAAAGTTGGCACCCCGACAGATTAATGATGTTTTCTTTCTCTAAAACTAGACAACATATAAAAAACAGAAGAAGAAGAAGAAGAAGAAGAAAAAAAACATCTTTACTCTTACGAATCTATCAAGTTTAGAAAAATACCCCTTACTTTCTCTGTTTTCTCTCTCCTCAATCATATTGCGGTCTTGAACTTTGTGCAAACCTTCTTTAGGAAACAAAAATAAAAAAAGGATTTAAGCAACAACTCCTGCATCGGCTGGTCGTTGTAAGGCAGAACATTTAGCTGGAGGACTTTCAGCTCTGTGCTACGGCCGCTAAGCTAGTTCGAGACGGCGCTAACTAAATATAAACTCTTTCTGGAAACACTAACACGTCCCCGTGATGCAGCTGAAGCAGGAGTCACTGGTTACTGTGCGGTCGTGAACTAAATGGAGTCAAAGCGGGGGGGGGGGGGGATTATCACTAGAAAACAAAACCTGGAATAACCAAGAAGATTGCAACGCTTCGCCGTTTGTCCGGATAGAGAGATTTTTCCCCGTAAGCGCGAAAAAGAAAGACAAACAGAAAAACTAAAAGTTCTATAGAAACAAACAGAACGAGTAAATATTTAGAATGAATGAAGTTAGATCAGTCTGATGGAGGAGGGACGAGGTGGCGCTGTCAAGGGAAGAAGGATGCTTCTGTATCGTTCCTTCCCTTTTGCACCCTCTGCCCTTCCTCTCTGACATCATCATCATCGGTTCATCTGAAGTGTTTCCTCACGACCGGAAATAAGAAGCCGCGGAACAGGAAGTGCCAGATTTTTCTCTCCTGTGTCTGTGCTCTGCAGGAGTTATGTGGTTTTCCAGGAGTTCTTTATCTAACGAGAAGCTGGCGTCTGCTGCCTCCCGGGTCCTAGCCTGACGCACTGGAGTGGGGAAAAGGTGAAACTGACCACATGTCAGCTACGACTACAACTAACGCCAACCAGCCCCTTAAACCATTTTACCGTTCACCAGGTAGTTCCTCGTCGGCTACTGACCGCTTCCCAAGCGGCGAGCGGATAAAATCCTGGTTTCCCCGCGCAGGCTAGGGATACGGAGGCAGTACTGTCAAACCTGCTGGGGCTTCTGGGATTTCTCCTTCGTATTCCTTGCGTTCCTGTTGTCCACGCTTCCCCGCTGCTGCGGTGGCGGTCGGAGCAGGCCGTGTATGAGCGAGGACGGGGGTGGGGACGACACAGTCCGGTGGTTGTGGCCGGGGCTCAGGGACGTCGGGTGGTAGTAGTGCCCGATCACCTCGCTGTAGGTCGGGGGAGCTCCCTCAACTCGAGAGCCCTGCTTCTGATGCCGGGACAAGGCCTCCTGGGCTTCAAGCACACTGACGCCAGAATGGACGCTCGGAGGAGGGGCCTGCAGACTGGAAGCAGAACAACAAGGGAAATAAATAAGACCGATGGGAGGCGAGCAACAAGGATAAAAACAAATGTAGGGGCAGAAAAAATGAGGAACATGCAGAAGAAAAGTACATTAAAGACTACAAAGTGGAAGACTACATAAAGAAAAGTAGGGCTAAAGATGTAGCAACACCAATAGCCCGTTTCCAGCACAGTAACTTTTCCAGGAGACCAGGACCCAGTAAAGGAACTTGGGATCCATTAAAGGAAATCAGGAACCTTGAGGCGCTTTTCCACCAAGATGTTCCTAGTCATTTTAGTCCCGGGACTACTTTTGGGGGGGGTTAAAATGGCCCTGGAACCTAAATAAAGACCCTGGTTCCTGTGGTTGAAATGCAGTGAGTTCCCGCTCTGTGAGTGAGTTGACTGACAACTTGTCCGTTGTTACCTGGCCTGCAGACAGGAGCTGGATGGGTTGATGGGGTGGGAGTCAAACACTGTTCGGTTGGGCGGCGCTCTGACCGACTCGCGGTTCAGCTCCATCTGTTGCTCCGGGTCCCGGAGCTGCAGGGTGCAGGGTCCCTGGTACGGCGGGGGCTCCTCCCCGTCCGAGAGGCAGATGGTGGGGGGGAGATCGATGAGGCTCTGGGGCAGGTAGGGATACGTCGGCTGGAAGCGACTCGGGGCGTACGTGTGCTGGAAGCGCTGGGACTGGAGCGGAGGCAGGGACTGGGACTGGGCGTGATGAGGCTCCCGCTGCAGGTAGGACGAGGGCACGCCTCTGTCCGGAGGGCGTGGGTTATACACCTGGTGCTGTTGTGAGGAAACACACCAGATTACTATCAAGTCACACTGTGTAACAATAAACTGAGTTCTAATAAACTAAGTTCTTGGTTGATTTCCGGTTAAGTTAACAAAATGTTACTTCACTCACCTCGTTCAGACCACTGTTTGTCCCCGTAGCCTCAGAAGACCACAGACTCCCCTCCTGAGAGAGAGACAGAGAGCATTCATGAAACATGTTGAGCAGCTTGTGTGTGCTTTATATTGTGTGATTAACGTTTCGACCACTAGAGGGCTCTGTTGGTGCACAACAAACACTCATCGCTACAGAGTCTGGTCTCAGTGAACCGTGTGGCTCTCACTGCCGAATCCTTTCTGTTTAATCCATCAGAGTGATGAGTCACTTCTTTGTCTCCACATCTTCTGACTTTTCGCTGATGTAATGACCCGATTTCCCCGTGTAGAATAATGAAGTCTCAGAATGACAACGCACTGTTGTGGAAATAATTTGAAATCGGTTTGACAAAAGCAGCGTCTTTGCTTCTATAAAAAATGTCTGGAAGGAAGTTTTCCTTCCAGACATTTTTTTTTTTTTGTTGTCTGGCGAGTTTTTCCTGCCGGTCTGTGTGTGTGTGTGTGTGTGTGTGTGTGTGTGTGTGTGTGTGTGTGCAGGATTATGCCTCATCCTTTACTCATGTCTTACTTGCAGACTGGAGCCACACACACATCAGTGATTCAGCAGCAGGTGATTCAGGGAGCACAAGTGAAGTCGTATGTTTGTAGAAGCCTCAGGTGTAAGTGTGTGTGTGTGTGTGTGTGTGTGTGTGTGTGTTTCTTGAAATAGTCTTAATGAAGGAATGAGTCAGTGTGTTAGTGTTCGCCTGCGGCAGCGTTTAATCACTGTGACCACATGGTGTCACTCGGCGCTCCTCAAACTCTGTTTTTCTTCTGATGCTGATGGTTTTTTTTTTTATCAAGCGGAGACTCCTCAGGCGTTTGTCATGCACCGGTCAATTTAGAGAATTTTGAAGAAAACATCCAAAAAACACATTTGGCTGTTTATTTGAATTCTTTGTCTGTTGGCATCTGCAGATTTCTGCTAAAATCACCAAAGTTACCATTAGATAATCACTCATTTACATTTTTAAACAGGCAATTTTGGAAAACTTGTAATACAAAAAAATATTGTCTTAATGTGAGTAATCAACTGGGGAAATTTCATGGTGATATAAATTAGTACAATTTTTTTACCCCTATTCACTTGTCATTTTACAAAACATATCTTCAAAATGAGTTTTTTCTCAGACTGAGCCAGAAATCTGCACTTGAGTAGCTCTTCCATACACCGAACTTTCCAGTTCAGTTCATATCTATATTCTTAATATTTTCTACAGAGGGGTTTGTTCAGATATCACTCATAGCACATAACATTTTATTCCCAACAATATGGCAGAAGTTGAGTTGTTTTTCTTAGAGTTGTTCACAGTATTTTCTGCTCTATGGGGTGATACAAAGAGACATCCAGCTTCATCCAATGTTCAGATTTCTGTTTTGGACATTTATGCAAATTAGTTTACATGCCTCATCGGATTTTTTATTTATTTTTATTATTATTTTAATCAACTGGAATCGTGTAAAGATATTTTATATGTTTCTATAGTGATATTTGAGTATGTTAAATCATTTTTGCCTGCTTTTCAATCCCACGCTCATTCAAGCTGTTTTTCATTTCCTGCTTTGATGTTTTTTCTTTTACTTAATATGTGCTGCGTTCTATTTGATCCACATGTTTAAACATTATATATTCATTTTTTAGCTCACACATATTGGCTATCAAAGCTTGTTACATACTGTAGAACAGGAGTTGATATATTTTGACCTCAACGTAGCAGCTATTTCTCCATCATCATGTTAGTGTGGATAAACCACATCTGGATACGATCCACATCCAGCAGTGTCGGGACACACTGGGCGTAAACGCTTCGACTTACGTTGGCCAATGGCAGGTGTCTCCTGCGTGCGGGGGCGTGTCTGGACAGGAGGGAGCGTGCTGATAGGCGGTAGTGGTTCAGCAGACAGGTGATGACCACCACCATCACCATCATCACCACCACGATCACCAGGATCTGGACGAACTCCAGCTGGGCTGCAGCGACACAGAGACACAGGTTATCGGTTAGCGTAGTCCTACTCTGCTGCGGAGTTCTGTCAGGTCTGAGAGAGATGACCCTGATGATGTCATAGTGATGTAGTCTCATGAAAAGACTCCAACCAGTTGCATATGGGAAGTGTAGGATGCAGTTTGTTTGGATCTTGACTCACGCTGTGGACTAAAAGTCAGGATGTTTTGTACAACGCAAAGAAAAACACTTTATTTAATAGCAGTAACATACTTGTATGTAACTTTTCTATTGTTACAGCATTATATGTGTTTAACAAAATGCTTCATCCAAATCAAAATACGGTTTATTTAGATTTTCAAAGGAATTTGCCTTGGTGTAAACAAATTAAGAGAAAATACAAAAATATGCCAAGTACTGCAAAAGTCAAGAACATAATAACTGAATAGTAAAAAAGCAAAACAAATATAAAAAATATTCTATAAAAAAAGATACTAGAACAAACATGTACAATATAACTGTTTTACAATGAGAATTAATATAAAGACAATATTTTTAAAATTACGAAAAGCAATTGCAGATATATGTCCTCTGTACTAATCTCAAAGATATCAAATTACAAATCATACAAAGCCAACCACAGCGGAGAATTTATATTCAATAAAATATTATTTTATAGAATCAGACGATTGACATTTTTGCTTAAACCGATGAATTATCCATCTATTAAATCGTCTTCAGTATTTGATACATTTAATGGTGGTTTGGGCTTCTTCATTGGGTTAAAAAATATACATATTTCTATTAATAAAAAAATAGCAGCGTCAGTATCAGCAGTTTGCCATTTAAAAAGTATCTGATTGTGAATGCTGTGACTGTGAAGTGTCAATCCAACAACAAGGTTTGTGTGAAAAAAGGTTTTCAGACACAGTCCAGACAGAGATGTAGTCCTTATGTAGAGGTCAGGGTGTCACACACACACACACACACACACACACACACGCACACACCAGACCAGACCAGACAGACACACAGGGCTAGCTTTGTTTAGAGGCAGTCTGCTCGAACCCCCCTCCTGCTGCATCCACCACCCCCATCGACACCACACACACACACACACACACACACACACACACACACACACACACAC